TTTATAATCTATTAAAGTGTAATCTCAGTAGTCCTTGCATGTACTGTAAAATTAAATAAATAAAAATAGAATGTTCAGCATGTTGCTCATATTAAACAAACTAAAACCAAATAAACCTCATATTCTGTCAAATGAGTTGTAGAATCCTCTCCCTATAAATATTGAATTCTCTGTGAATTAATGCCGATCATTCTTCAATAAGATTCTCGTCAAACGGACATGCAAAAGTTAAAGTGTGTATTGGACCTAGTGAATGACTTTTTTTGTTTTTTTATGCACAAAAGTACGACAAAAACCTGACTAAAGAGAAATAAAATGGCATGATTGGCTGTAAGTAGAACGGAGACAGATGAAACTATGTAATAAGTATTAATGCGTATCAATTTCACTGTCACAGCCTCTGTAATTTTTAATTGTTTTTAAATGTTTTATTTTTATTTTTTCTGACACTGTGTTTTTATGCTTTTGTACGGTGACCTTGAGTGTCCAGAAAGGCGCCTTTTTAAATAAAATGTATTATTATTATTAATAAAGGTATGCTGGCCTGACGCTGTATGCTGACAGAACATCGACTCCACTTCCTCACTACAGTCACCAATTCTGGCTCTCCCTAAAATATAGGTACCCTATGCAGGGTTCCCGCGGGTCCTTAAAAAGTCTTAAAAGGCATTGAATTCTTCAAAATAAAACTAAGGCCTTAATTGGTATTAAAATGTCTTAAATCAGCCTTTCGTAGGTCTTAATTTTTAAGAAAACGATACAAAGAAAAATGGCTGCAAAAAAGACTTAGCACTGGTTATGTTGGGGCTTTAAAACTGATTTGTTTTGTTCCCTGCTAAAACAAAGTTTGTGAATTCAGTTAAATAATTGTTAAAATATATCTGTCATTTGTGTGTTTTTAGCTTTCTTCCTGTATGGGAAGCTTTTCAAAATTTGAAACATAAAGTAAAGTTGTCGCAAGCAGGTTTTTCTTCTGTTTTTTGTGAATTTGGTCTTAAATTTTTATTTCCAGTGGCATTAAACCCTGGAACCCTGCTATGGGGCGCCGTTTGTAAAGTTAAGCAGTCAAATATTAGGAGCAATATTTATGGTTATTTGGCGTCTTTTAAGAGAAAAATAAGGGGGTTATTTTTTTCCCCAAGTCATTTTTCACTATGTCAGTCATTCATTTATAAAAATCTTACTTTGTTAAATAAATATTTCTGACATTTTGAACTGAAAAAGCTTCCTGGATGGGAAGCAAAATGTCTTCATACTTGGAAACCAAATGTTGTTTTTAAACTTTTTTGGAAAGACTATAATCTGGATGAATGATAACCTTCACCAGCATCTATCCACAAAGGCGAAGATTGTGTCTGTTTGCTCTTCTTTTTTATAAAAAAATAAAAACTAAAACAATGGTGCTCCAGCTATAAGTTGACATCCTGAATAACGGAGTCCACTGGGGCAGCCATGTTTGTTTTGCTTCAGCCTGGCGTCTCTGGTTGTATTTGAGGATAATGCATCTTATTGGCTTCTGGCAAGATGTATTTTATGGATTTTGTGAATTCACAAATCTCGTAAAATAAAATCTTTCTTTCAAGGAAACCTTTAAGCAGTAGATTGACTAAAATTTGAACTGGACTGTTGATTATAATTAAATGCATGTAGAGACAGTTGGATGTTTTGATGCAGCTCATGAGCAGATGGTGCTTTCTGGTTCTACAGAAACCTCATCCAGACCAACAGCTGCCAAATCAAATGATAAGAAGGAACTTTGTGTCTGTGAAACATAGTTAGAAACATTTAAATAACTTTGTTCCCCTCAAACCTCATGATGTTTGCTTTAACTTCAGCTCTGGATCGGGTTGACCTGCAGCGTGACCCAGAGGTTTGCGCTGCAGCTCTCTGTGCTGCTGGATAATCTGTGTTTTACTTTGAAGCGCAGCCGATTGTTCTCCACAGAGAGCGTCTGTATTTACAGCAGCCGTCAGCTCAGCGGTGCTGACCACCGGGCAGGCAGGAGGCAGCACTATCAGCCACAGCCTCTGCCTTTTTGTGTGCCGCTCACAAATCCACTTTGACTTTGACATGTTAGTAATCTGTTTTGTCCTTAGTGCAAATATGCTGGGAGGGCGTTTAGCTGCGAGACGCTGCGGTTCTAGAGACGATACCTCGGCAGAGGGAGTGAGATTCATTTCTTCTTTCCTCATTGAACAATAAAACAGGGCTGTTAGAGTTCCATCCTGTAAACAGAAGGCTTCAAATCTATCAGAATCTCAACCGTCTGATGGTTAAAAATGGCTGATTTGGTGTCTGCAGTTTAATACATTTATGTTTGATGTCTGAAGCAAACCTATAGTTTTGTTCTATTTTTTGGCTTCTTTACTCACTTGTTGTTGA